TCCAAAGTACCAACTACCTCCTTGCCCACCGTTTACGGGGGGAAAAGCTTAAATTCTTGAACACGGTGGATGAAACGCCAATAAACAGTCATGCAAGTTACATGTAATTTCTACAATATCGAGGCAGAGAAGAGAATTGCAGTTTGAACGGGGATCAAAGAACGGCGTTCCCTTAAGGATCAAGGAGAGGAGATTCAGTCCAAGGATCAGGGTGCCCCCTGCTACAGTTGGCAGAGAAAAATAAAGAAGAAGCGAACAAAATAAGGACTAATTAGAAAAGTTAATAGTTTATCATTATTTTAATTCAGTCATTATAATTGTAAAAAATTAATTCGAAGGTTCTTATATTCTTATAGTTTTATTCTCCTTCATCCTCAAAACCGAAATGAGACAAAACAAGGTTAAAATTCCATTAGTCAGCACATACATGGATTGATAGATTGGAATTTGACTCATTAAAATTGTCATGTAAGCAACTTGAGTTTCGTTTCACTGCCTTATTTGCTCTGTTCATGGATTAATTGGATCATCATTTCCAATTCTTTTATTTTGCTAAGCATATGTATCTTTCTATTAGAAGTAATTATGTTCAAGACATTATTAAGTTATGGGCACTTCCTTAATGGAGATTCAAACCAAAATGTCAAGTAATTACACTGCAAGATGATTGGCGTCATATGATAGTTTTAACAACCTTTTAGTCTTCATTTACAAAGCTAAATAGATGTGTTGATTTGGAGTTTAAGACTTCCATTTAGGTGTATAATGTAAAGCCTTGGGAGAGTCACAGGTCATTTACTCCCATACCTACAAGTAAGGAAGTGCTCTACTACGGAAAAAGAGAAAAAATAGAGGCAAAAAAGAGCATGGCTATTGCAATTAGAATAAAAAATGAGGGACTGCTAAAAGAAAAGATTGGAGAAGAATTGAAATGAATGAATAAGGTTTCAAATGATAGGTATGTACACAAAAAAAGAGAGACAGAAACAAGAATGAAGACTTAAAACTTTAGTGTGAGTGGTATGTGAAAGAAGTGTTATCCCATAACTTATATTATACCTGATATTATTTGAGGGTTCATGATATTTTTATTGAAGATACCACACATAATGGCTAGATGAAGTTGGCAATTTACAATTATTTTCATACTTTTTTTATTTTTTTAAATGATGATCATCCTTATACAAATGAAAATTAAAAAATTATTAAAATTTATTTTGTTAAAAATTTAAAAGTGAAATTATTAAAAAAACATTTATCAATTTTGAAAATAATAATTTGCATATAAATTTTAAAATTTGTTTTTGGATTTATAATTATAAGGAATTAGTTACAGAATTACTTGCAATCCTAATTAATAGTGATTGGGTTGAAATGATTAATTTGAGTTTGGATGAATTTGATATTACCTTGATACCATTCTGATACTTAGAAAAAATTGTTATAAATAACCTTTTAGTCTTCATTTATGGAGCTAAATAGTTGTCTTGATGTAGAGTTTGAGACCTCCATTTAGTTATATAATGTAAAGCTTTAGAAAAGTCACAAGGCATTTGCTCCCATACTACAAGTAAAAAACTGTTCTACTGCGAAAAAAGAGAAAGAACAGGAGCAAATAGGATCATGGCCATTACAATTAGAACAAAAAATTAAGATAACGTTAAAACAAAAGATTGAAGAAGAATTGAAATGAATGAGTAAGGCTTAAAATGATAAGTATATACAAAGAGGAAGAAGGACTAAGCGAGAACGAAGACTTAGCACTTTAGTGTAAATGGTGTATTAAAAAAGTTTTATTTCATAGCTTATATTATATTTAATATCATTTAAGGGTACATGATTTTTTCCTAGTGAACATACCACACGTAATGACTGAATGAGGTTGGCAATTTGCAGTTATTTTCTGTTTTATGCTTTTTTATTTTTTTTAAATGAAGATCATCCTGATACAAAATGAAAGTTAAGAAATTATTAAAAAAATTTTGTTAAAATTTAAAAGTAAAATTATTAAAAAAAACATTTAATTTTGAAAATAATCATTTACATATAAATTTTAAAATTTGTTTTTGGATTTATAATTAAGGATAATTCATATGCAAGTCTTTAAAATTTCAACCGATTTTTAATCAGGTCCATATAATTTTTTTTTCTTTTATTAGGTCATTATAATTTTTTTAATCATGTCCTATTGTTTTACTTTATTTTTAATTAGGTCCTTGTAGTTTTTATTCTTTATTTCATAAATAATAATATTCTATAAATAATAAATGTTACAACAATCTTATGTTAATATCTTTAAATTTTAGTTAAACATATAAATTATTTATTTTTCAATTCTAATTTTTATAATTATAAAATTCAAATTATAATAATAAAATTTTCTAAAATTAGAATATAATTATAAATAATTTATAGTTAAGTATAATTGATTATTCTAATTAATTATTAATAACCAAATGATTATATTAATTATTTTTTAATTATATAATTATTAATTTAAAAATGAAATTAATTTTAAAAAATAAATTAATAAATAATTTTTTAGAAACTACAAAGGACCTATGGAAGGGTGTGAGAAAAAAATAGACGGGCCTAATTAAAAACAGGAGAAAATAAAAGGATAGGAGAAAAAAATTTAATAGGGATCTAATTAAAAATCAGATAAAACTATAAGGACCTGAAGATTAATTATCCTTATTATTGGGAATTATTTATAGAATTAATTGCAATTCTAATTAATAGTGATAGGGTTGAAATAATTAATTTGAATTTTAATGAATCTGATACCATTCTGATACCATTCTAATACTTAGAAAAGAATTGTTATATATTCAAAATGAAAAATTCAATATATATTTTTTTCAATGAATTTTTCAATTTTTTTAAAATACCCATATTTAATTAGAAGTAAATATGGGAGAAAGATTTGGATAACAACAACCTCCTTGATTTACTACTTACCTTCTGAAATATTTGAAGGAAAAATTGAAAAGCAATACTTTCTTTTAAAAAATAATTATTACATTTTTTATAAGAAATATTTAGTTTTTTTTCACTTTAATAGGATGTGTAGATTTATGCTATGTTTGGGTAGAGAGAAAATAATGAAAAAAGAAAAACTAAAGAAGAAAATCAAAAAAGACTTTTTTTCTCCTATTTAGATGACGTAAAAAAGTGTGAGGAACGAAAAGTGAAGGAGAAAATAAGGTAGGTCTCACACCTCATTTTCCTCCAAACTTTTCTCCCCAGATAACAATGAATACAAATCCCCTCAATCAGTCAATCAAAGTGCTATTGTAGACCGACGGCAAGGTGTAAAGACTTGAATGCAGCACGGAAGGCATTGATGAGGGTACTGCTGTAAATGCAACTCTCCTGCGCTACCATTGATGTGAAGCAGCTCCAGGAGGGTCTTGCTTAATTCAGGTTCAACAGTTCCCATCAGGAAAGTGGCGCGAAGCACGAACAAGATTCCAAACTGGTTTCAAGTTGGCTTCAAAGGGAGTTTAGGTTTAAATATGATGGAGATAGTCGCACGTAATGACAGATCAGGACTATATGTAGAACCTAAAAACCAAATAGTGGGTTTATTTATTCAAGGAAACAAGCTCTACTCAAGTTCTACACCTTCTGTGTCAAGATCTGCTGGAAAAATAATTCAACCGGTTTTTAATCAGGTCCATATAATTTTTTTTCTTTTTATTAGGTCATTATAATTTTTTTTATCATGACCTTATTGTTTTACTTTATTTTTAATTAGGTCCTTGTAGTTTTTACTCTTTATTGCATAAATAATAAATTGTTACAATAATCTTATGTTAATATTCTTTTAAATTTTTAGTTAACTATAAATTATTTATTTTTCAATTCTAATTTTTATAATTAAAATTCAAATTATAATAATAAAATTTTCTAAAATTAGAATATAATTATAAATAATTTATAGTTAAGTATAATTGATTATTCTAATTAATTGTTAATAACCAAATGATTATATTAATTATATTAAATATGATGGAGATAGTCGCACGTAATGACAGATCAGGGCTATATGTGTAACCTAAAAACCAAATAGTGGGTTTATTTATTCAAGGAAACAAGCTCTACTCAAGTTCTACACCTTCTGTGTCAAGATCTGCTGAAAAAATAATTCAAACTGATCAGTTTTATCATACACCTATGGTAGTAGGATAATGAATAAAGATGTTGACTCTTACCGCACCCAAACCATTAGTGGCATTGATGACAGAATGACAAAATAAGGTGATCCTTTATGGAATTATTGAACAAAAACAAGATGCTTAAGATTTTATTACAGAATTTTTTTTTTTAATATTACAAAGGCAACCTCAACTTGAATAAAAAACTATAAAACTAGTCATCTTACATCCTAGCACTAAGCTACTTATCATTAAGAAACCTTCTCAAACAGTAGGAGGAAAACGTGTTATGTAATATTACCTTAAAATAATTGTACTATAGTAGTTGGAGATTAAGTTTTGTCCAAAATTTAAGATCTCAAATCCAAACATACCCTTTGTCTCATATACATGATTAACAAGGATATTTTAGAAAATGTAATATTTGTTTATTACGAATAACTAAGTTAACTAACTTCTTTAACATTCACAAATTAATTTAGACTAGAGGCACTATTTAATATTCTTTCATCCAAGCATGACACAAAATTAAAAATAGACCCAGATTTGTAAAAATAGACTCATCTTTTTCTCTCTACATTGCATTGACTATTAATTTTTTCTAAAGATTGACTCGTATTTTGACAAAAATGCCCCTAATGAGAACAGAGTGTAATGTACACACATTTATATTTTAATTGGAGCCTTCCTCTCTCACACTGTGCAACCCACCCTTTCTGATTTCTTAAGCCATTCACGTGACCCTAAAGCGGGTGTAGTTTTTGCTATGTGCAAACACACGATAGAGGCAGGTTAAAAGAAAAAAAAAAAAAAAACACACGATAGAGTTGAGATGTCAAAATGGAGGGGAAGTACAGTGTAGTGTGGGTAATTTCAGCCATTCTTCATTCTCTGAGAATCTTAACTACACCCGCAGAAGAGTGGGTTTACATAGAAGAGATAGTTGCTAGGGTCGAGGCCCAAGACGGCGTCACCGATGAACTCCAAGCGTTCATAGTTGAGATTCTCAGAGAAGGAAGAATGACTTTCTTCCAAAAGTGTCTTACTCCTGAAACTATAACCGATGACAAAACAAGGTGATTCTTAATAGAAACAAGTGTACTATAGTGGGTTTAAACCTCGTTAGCGGCTTTATTTATCCACAATGTATGAATATTACTACTCTATATTAATAAAGTATGTTTATATAAATGCATTCTATATACACCAAGGAAACAAGTTGTACTCAAGTCTCTACACCATCTATCATAATCTCCTTTTCAAATTTTTCAATGTATAGATAATGGAAAGGGGTGTCGACTCTTACCGCACCCAAACCATCAGTGGTATTGATGACGACAATGACAAAATAAGGTGATCCTTTATGAAAGTGAAACAAAATCGCTAGTGGGTTTACACTTCGATGGCGGGTTTATCCACATTACAAACATTGTTTCTCTTTGTAAAATAGAAAGAGGCTGTACTCAAGTCACTACACCAAATATCGTGTCAAGATTTGCTGAAAAATAAATTCAAACTAATCAGTTTCATCGCGCACCTGTGGCAGTAGGATAATTGTGACAACCGTTCTTTTAAAACCCATTTAGATCAAAATTTTCAATCTATTCGAACGATTAACCATGATAGAAAAGAAAAAACCTTAAAATTTTAAAATCGCTATCATGGTTAAAAGGAATAAATTTATATTACGAGTCACATCGATCGTTCACTTGGGCTTTGGACTTTCAAAGTTCAGAAATATCATTCAACCATTAGCCCAACCCAAACTTATATTTTCAAACATACGAACTGATAAATCAATTTAATATAAACTAGAGAGCTCATTAGTCAAAAGTCAACACTTTCGAAGGAGCGTTACATGCAGAGTCTAAGATGTCTTGGGCCTCCTCGCGGCCTTGTCATACCAGATAGTAGTAATTAAAAGTATTATTTTACATCATGATAGTAGATGAGCCCTATGTGGCAATATATAACAAGTCAGCACATAGAACAAAAGCAGGGAGGCTATACAAGCTATAACAGCACACTATGCCTCTGGAGCCTTCCCTGATGGGCCACCACCTGAACTATCGCCTGAAAATGTTAAACCACGGGGTGAGACAAACGCCTCAGTAACCAACTTTCCAACTCATCATACATATTAACATGTGCTCGTGAGGTGTCAAGTGGGATAATTATTAAATTTTAATATATATATCAATGAAAATACAAATATGTATATTCAAATAATCTCAATCATCCAAATCCTCATTACGGGAGCTAACACACAAGCCACATAAGTCTATCCCTCACTATAGGGGATCAAACCGACCTATAGGCCTATCCCACACTTTGGGGGACGATTAAATAGTCACAAAGATCCATTCCTTATTACAGGCTTATCCCACACTTTGGGGGACGAATAAAAAGCCACAAGGGTCTATCCCTTACTCTAGGGATGAAGGAAGAAGCCAACCAATGTGCACCAATGGCGGCCTTACCACGTGGTCGGATAACACTCAATCCAAAATCCAAAATCCAAATAACAACCAACCATTCACAATATAACAAAAATATCTCAATCTTTTCCCAGTATAATCCATAAAATAAACCATATATCTTTTCCAAACTTCTCAATCACAATTCCAAAAATCCCACAAGACAATTTTCATAGCTCAAAAGATATAACTTCTCTACTCGAATTCCAAATAACAAATATTATTCAAAAATAACAAAATACTCATACAAACAACATATTAGCACATATAACAAGTGGAAAGTGGTTACCTCTCGTCAAAGCAATACTAAGGATTACCACAAGGTCAATCCTTTGCTCAACCAATAATTAATCTACACAATTAATATAACCACATTTAATATAAACTAATAATTAATTAATTAAACTTCTCTATATTATTTAAATTTCTAATTTAATTAAATTTTTACTCTAAATTCCCGCAACTCTCATAACTCAAAAATTATTAAGTATTTTAGAAACAACTTAAAATTTCTAACAACCCAATTTATTTATTTACCACCTCCAAATTATTTACCTTAATAAAAAGGATTTTCCACAATTCTAAATATATAAAATTATTATTTTCTAAATTCTAAAAACTCTCTTTTTAAGTTTAAACCTCAAAATCAAACTCTAAAAATTTAATAATACTTTAAATATTTATAACTAAATAATATAGTCAAAACTTTAATGGTATAACTACCATATATATATTTCTGTAAATAATAAACTATTTAGCTACAATAATTATTTTAAAACCTCCAGTCACCCAATAAATAAAACTAGACGATTAAAATCTTAATAATATGTCAAACAATCCAAATAAATTGCTTAACTTGAATTTAATCGGTAAAAACATAATATAAATCATATATAACAGATTTTTCAACTAGAAAAATTAATTTAAATACTAAAAACCAACAAATGGACAAATCTAACTAATTAAAATTAACAACTCATTCACTTCTAAATTTCTATAGTCATCTTTTATCAAAACTCAATACTTATATCATATATAAGTCTCAAAATTTTCTCCAATCACTATAGTAATAATGTAAATAGGAAGCTTAAAATATACAGGAAATATTTGTAAAGAAAGTTTGATGAAAGAAGGAATTTTATGTACCTAAAATATCTTCAAAACTCGTTCTTTCCTTCACCGGTAAGCTCCTTTCGCTCTTGCACACACACTAAGCTCTCTTTCTCTCTTTCTCTCCTGCGTAGCACGCACTCACGTTTTCAACTTCCCTCTCTTTCTTGTATTCTTCATTTCCCCAACTACCTTTCATTTTTTTCTTCCCTCATTAAATTCCTCTCCCCCATTTTCTTCCTTCCCTTTTCAACGTTTCAGCTTTCCACCGAATTCGATGGAAAGCTGTGACCTTTTTTTTTAAAAAAAAATATATTAAAATATTATTATTTTATTATAATAATAAAATATTTTTTTATTTTTTTATTGAATTTTTTTATATTATAATAAAATATTATTATATATATTTTTACATAAATCCTAAAAATTAATTTAGGATATTACAATAATGGATAGAGGTGTTGACCCTTACCGCACTCAGACCATCAGCTGCATTGATGACGGCCATGATAAAAAAATAGATGGGCCTAATTAAAAACAGGAGAAAATAAAAGGATATGAGAAAAAGAAAAATTTAACAGGGATCTAATTAAAAATCAGATAAAACTATAAGGACCTTAAGATTAATTATCCTTATTATTGGGAATTATTTATAGAATTAATTGTAATTCTAATTAATAGTGACAGGGTTGAAATAATTAATTTGAATTTTAATGAATCTGATACCATTCTAATATTCAGAAAAAATTGTTATATATTTAAAATGAAAAATTCAATATATTTTTTTCAATGAATTTTTCAATTTTTTTAAAATACCCATATTTAATTAGAAGTACATATAAGGGAAAGATTTGGATAACAACAACCTTCTTGATTTACTACTTACCCTCTGAAATATTTGAAGGAAAAAACTCAAAAGCAATACTTTCTTTAAAAAAATAATTATTACATTTTTATAAGAAATATTTATTTTTTTTCACTTTAATAGGATGTGTAGATTTATACTATGTTTGGGTGGAGAGAAAATAATGAAGAAAGAAAAACTAAAGAAGAAAATGAAAAAAGATTTTTTTTTCCTATTTAGATGAGGGAAAAAAGTGTGAGGAACGAAAAGTGAAGGAGAAAATGATGTAGATCTCACACCTCATTTTCCTCCAAACTTTGCTCTCCACATACAAAGAGAAAATGAGGGAAAAAACATTTTTCCTTTCTACCGCTATATCTGTTTTTTTAGTAAAATAATACCTATTTATTTTTACTTCATTTATTATTTCATGTCTTTCTCCTAAGTTTGTTTGATTGAACAGTAAAATAACTAAAATTGCAAAAATGCTTCTGAAATGAAGTTAAAGGGACAATAAGGAGAGATGTTGTTTTTTTTTTTTTTGCGTTAAACAAATACTATTTTTTCTTCTAAAAAATAATTTTTTTATAAAACTATTTGATATTACAATATAATAACATGATAAAATATCTTTATCAAATAATATGATTTTAAATTATTTGATGATGTTAATGTTAATATGATTTTCATTATAATATTTAATTTGATTTCAATCATGATACATTTTGATATAAGAGGAAAAGTATTTTAGTTATTCAATATTTACTCATTTTTTCCTTTCTATTTTTTCTTGTTTATCCATAGAAGAGAGGTGATCATATTTTTTTCTCTTTTCCCTATTTTCTCTCCTTCCATTTTCTTTCCTTCCAATTTTTTCCCCAGTCCAAACAGAGGGTTAGAGATGAAAAGAATATGAATTTATTAAAAAATAAAATAATATATATAAAATGTTGAATCCCGATATTTTTAATCCTACTAATTACTATTTCTATCTAGAAATTTGTGGTTATATTTTCTCAAGAAAGATTTATTTTAGTATTTATTTAGAATATATGCCAGACTTTTTTCTTCTTCTTCTTCTTTTTTTTTTGCTCCCTAATAAAAATTTTTAAACTTTGTCATTGCATGATTTATTGTTTCCTTGTAGTTTTCATTTTACTCACTAAACATTACGCTTCAGCCTCCTGGCAGAGGACAGGTAGTGGACCATAATAACAGAGGGCAGGAGGAAGGCCAGATCGAAATTTCCTTCAGCCTCCTACTCCCGCTCTCTAATCCTCATCGTCTCTATCCGGTTTGCTCCAATCTACTTTGACAGCTCTTCATTTTGTTGCAAAAGTCTTCCATTCTCGCCTCTTCTTCCACACATTACTCCAATAGGCATAATCACAATTTTTAGTTTGTTGGTATGTGCTCCGCGCCTCATTTTATGTGATTAAGATGTTGTGCGTTGCGAGCAACTCATCATGTATTCTTCAAAGTTGATAAAAAATACATGTTAAACAATGAATGCTCCAGCGTGTGGGGTATTTCTTGCAATAGGTATGGGTCTAACTATTTGACTGCTTATTTTGATTTTTTTTTTGTCAATATCTTCTTGCTTGCCAACGATATGTTTTGGTATTTAAATTAGTGGGGTAAAATGTTGACCTTGATATGGTTTGGCTACTATTTGTATATTCCCAAGTCTGTGCCTTGTGATATTCTTCTGTGTTAAAATTGATAACTCTCAAGTTTTAATATATTTAAAGAGTATTTTGAGTGATTTTGGAGGATTATAATCAAGACACAGACCAGTCGAGACAGTAAGTCAAGAGTCATTAGGTTAGATCAAAGTCAACCAAGAGTCAAATGGGTGAAAAATAAAAAAATAAAAAAAAACATTTAAATTTTCACCAAACCATCCCAGGATTAAATGTCAATTTAATACATTGAATTATTAATAAAATAATCATATACTTGTAATTTCTTGTCAACTTTTTATGCAATGCCTTCCCTAAATTGAAATCATAATATCATATTACTAAAATTACTAGGTATTGATCCAAGCAAAATATCAAAATAGATAAATGATAATAAAATATGGAGAATTACAATAAGGTCTTAAGTAAGGAAAAAAAATTACAAAACAAGTCTAAGAGGTTATTATTCTCTACTTTAGAACTTGTTATTATAGACTGCTTAGGTTGTTATTTGGACATTTTAGTAATTATTTTCCTTTCTTAGAACTTGATTGTAATTCTCCCAACAAAATATTCCTCCTCACAACCCTTCAATCACTAAATAAGAATTATCAACTACCTAAAAAAGAAAAAAAAGGTCATCAAAATAGCATTTAAAAAAAAAAAAAAGAGACAACCAAATTAACCCACCAAATTAGTCAAGTTAATTGGGTTACTCTAGGTCATTTTGGTTTTTTTTTTTTTTTTTGCCTTATAGGGGACAACCAAACCGGCCAGTTGACTGGTTCACTGAGTTGAAAGATAGGGAGTAGTTTATTTCCTTTCTTTTTATTTTATTTTATCTGTCTTTTCTTTTCAGTTTTTCCTTTTATTTGTTCTCTCTTCTTTTCTTCCTTTCAGAAGTAGAACGCACCGTTTGGGGCTGATGGTTTTGAATCCTAAACACGAGTTACACGTGCTTCGGGAGGGGACGCAGCGTTTGATGGAGACCAAAGAAGGAAATCCGAAATCATCGAGTTGAGAGACAGGGAGCGCTGTTCATCGAAGAGGGGAGGCGGAAATTACTCAAATTAGTGTTCATCGATCATCTTCTTCGGCTTGAGTGGTTCAGGGAGCGAGAGAGACGGACGGGACTGGTTCGAGCTCTTTGTCTTCAACCTTCGAAGGCGAGTTTGCGTGGGAGGAGACGCCGTTGGGTTCTTCTTCTTCGCTGCAGAACGCGATCTCGACGGAGGAGAGTTTGGGAGAGAGTTCTACTGTTTTTGGTTCAGAATTAAGAGAGAGAAGGCGCGACTGGCTTGTTCATCTTCTTCTTCAAGTACGACGGCCTTGGGTGGAGGAGAAGCAGTGCTGGCGTGAAGATAGAAACCCGTCGAACTGAACCAGAGGAGCTTGAGGAAGAGAGATTTGCATCAGTGTTTTGTTCGCTTTCCTTTTCTCTTTATCCAGTATGATGTTTGATTTTGGAGTTAATGTTGTTGAGCTGAGATTGATCAAAGTCATGTGTGGCTAGTTTGCTTTGCAACCTAGAGGAACTATGAAGTTGTTTGTGATTTAGAGATTCTTCCCACTGTTTAGTTATCTTAATTTTAATTTGTTTTACTTAATCTTGTTTTTAATTCTAACTTGCTCAGTGCTTGGCACCAGTGAGCTTGTTTTGGGAATTTAGGATTGAACTTGATGAGGGGAATCTGAAATAGGCCTTGTGATTAAGTAATGTGGAATTGGATTTAAACTAATTTGCACCTTGGATAGACATATACCTAGAGGCTCCACATAATCAAGTTAGAGTGAAATTGGATTAATTTGCGCCTTGGATAATTGTGAGAGATTACATAATTAATTGAGATAGAGTTATAAGTTGATGATAGGCACTTTTAACTAGTAAGACTCTAGATTAACTAATTAAGTTTAAGTACAATTAATTCAGTAGGGATAATATCTAAGAAGCAAATAATTAATTTGTAACTCTGGGTTGTTCTTTTTTTGACGTTTGTATTTGTTAATTTCATAATTCTTGCATTGTTTAATTTGAATTTTATTTCACTTAATTCAAATTCAATCTTGACTTTTTCAACTCAAACAAAAAGAGGATTTTTATTGCCTAATCATTGGTTAACTGAGTTTTTCATGGAATCGATCTTGATATGCCACTATCTCTTTTCTTACTGCCTGTACACCGTTAATATTTGGTAGCATCAAGTTTTTGGCGCCGTTGCTAGGAAATATTAAGTTCTTGATTTGGTCACTTTTTGATTGAGACTAGTTTTGGACAGGTTTGAGATATACTGTATAGGCTTGTGTAAGCGTTTTATTTTGTTTCATTGGTTACGTTATTTTTCATAAATTCAAGTTCCAACCTTGATTGTGCTTCCTTTTGTAGATTGCGGGGAAAGAAGATGAAAGTCAAGGTCTTGCGTATCCTTGCAATGCTAGTCTTATTATTACTTTTTGTTGTGTTCATTGTTTCAGTTTTTATTTTTTTTCCGTTTTTGATTGTGAATTTTAGTAGTCTTATTTCCTCTCTGGGGTCTTATATAGTTGTGAGAGTGGTTTTACTCTACTTTTAGATTGGAATGTTGAAATTACAGTGCAGATATAGATAGTTCACTGTGGCTGGTGCTGCATGTAAATTGGGAATTTTAAATCTGTTTGAGGGAACCATGGGATTTGTAAAATGACCTCCTTTTAGAACTGAGATGCCAGATAATAGCTTATCACAAACTGCATCAGGAACTTTTAAACTGAGATTCCCATCTGATGCAGGCAACTATAAAGGTTTCAATGTAGTTAGTTTTAAAATTCTTATATTGGGTTGTAGCAGAATTTCCATGTTTTGAATTTACATGTTTGTTTTTGTGTTTAATTATGAAAAATTTTGTTGTAAGTATATCAAATGTTCTGCGGAATGTTTTGCTTGACTTAGTTTTCTGTCTGGATTTCCCCTGGGCTTCCAAAAAGAGTATGTTTTCTTTCTATCTTGAAGATCTGTTATGTAAAATTTTAGCTTTTAATTTGTCATATGTAGTTGCAATTTATATTTGCACGTAAATGCTAGGGACTATTAATTAATTATGGAAGCTCCTTGGCATATTTAACTGTTGATGGTTTTCCTGTCTTAAAATGTTCACATTCCTGCCCCTTGTGTTGATTATAGATGGCATGCTGTTGCGTCATGGACTTGGGACGCTCAGGATGAAACATGTGGGATTTGTAGGATGGCCTTTGATGGCTGTTGCCCAGACTGTAAACATCCTGGGGATGACTGCCCTTTGAGTAAGTTACAAATGATATCGCATATGGTTTTTATTACTTCTTTCATACTCATGCTAAATAATTATGATTGAATTCTTTAAATTTGAATCTTCAGACCTGCAGCTGAGGCAATAGCCTTGATTGCTGGTTATTTGATTATCTGGGAGTCCACCTTCATCTTTTCCTACTTTGAATACAACTTGAAAAGAATTAGGGAAAATTACATACAGGTTCCAAATAAGAAAGTAAATCACCCACAAGTCCCAACCGCTTGTAAATGGGACTAAGAAAATAATTAACTTCTTTATTTGGGACTTAATTTTGATTCTCCCCAAAAACTGTGTATAGATTAAAATGCTACTGACGTTCTCCTCCTCCTCAAACTTCACTCCACACCAGAAGCGCTTGTTAGTTGTTTTTCTATCTGCATCTCTCCTCTGTGTTAATATGTACTTGGTTTAGAGCATCAAAAGAAAAGGTATATACTTGGTTTAAAGTTGCCCTGGACTCTAGATCAGATAGGCAGTAGGTTGATTCATGATACTGGTGAGTAACAAGCTGCCAACTCGCCAATGTGGTTGAAAAGTAGGTTCCTGCCTGACCTATAGGACTTAACTTTGTGGCTGTGGCTTTAGGTGTAGAGATACCTGTGGTGCAACGGAGCTATAGTCATTAGTCAAGTCCTTCTGAAAGGGCGTGACCTGCACACCTCCCGGTGTCAATCTTATCGAGAGTTTAAGTCTATTGCTGGTCTAGTGGTTCTATTGTTCAAGTCCTGTCATGACTGGATCCAGAATTTCAAAATTAATTAGTCTATTACTAATTGCTTGAACTTACTTTAAAGGAGCTTGTGATGGTTTTTTCCTCAAAGGTGTTGCTATCTCAGTGTTGCAGAAAGATTGGCCTGTTTTGTTGCACACTTGATGAATATGTTATTATCTTTATTTTTTAGGTTCCTGTTGGGGATGTCATCATGTTCTTCTTTTGTTCCTTAATTATTATTCTTTTTTTTGGGGGGGGGGGAATTTAACTGTTTCTTTTTACATCTTGCAGTTTGGGGAGCATGCAATCATGCTTTTCATTTGCACTGTATACTGAAATGGGTGAATTCTCAGACTTCGCAAGCTCATTGCCCTATGTGCCGTCGGGAATGGCAGTTTAAAGGATGAGATAATGCTTCATGCTCTTTGAAGTTTGATCTCTGTCTCTCACACCAGCCCATAGCTTTATATGCCCACAACATTTAAAAAAAAAAAAGGCAGTAGCACCCATTATTAGAGAAAAATATCGTTGGCAAAAAGTATATATAGAGAGAGGGAGAGGACAATGTTGAATGAATGAGATCAAGTGGAACTTCTGATAGTTTAAGGATTTTTTTTTTGGGGTAAAAAGTAGTTTTAGGATTCTAATTCTAAATTGAGTAATATTTGTTGTTTGTGATAACATATTCAGACCAATTAGTATTCTACAAAGGCTGGTTTCAATCGAATGAAGTGCTTTGTGTATTTATATGCTTTGCACGTGCTATTAATGATGTTTATTCTAAGAACACTTCAGAACATGCATGGAAATAAAGTTTTTTTTTAACCAAATATTATGCTACCTATTGTTATATGGTTTTTTTTTTATCCAGATACGACAAACAGTGAAAAAAATGACTCAAATGTTATAAGATCAAAATATTTATTCAAATACCACACCTGAAATCGTTCAAACGACGAAAGAGTTTAAATTTGTACAAAAGTTGTTCAGGTCAAGAACGATTTTAATAGGACCCACATCACAAAATAATGAAAGTTGTTCTTAGTCTGAACAATTTCAGTGGGACCTACATCACAAAATGAAAATTATTTTTGGTCTAAATAATTTTAGTGGGACTCACATCACAAAATGAAAGTTTGTTCTTGATCTGAACAACTTTAGTGGGACCAACTATACACATTTGTTTTATACTCCACGTGGGTTCCATGCGTTTTCAGTTTTTTTTATTTTTGACCAAATTATACTTTTGCCTTTTCCAACCACACACGCAAAGTGCTCCTTCCTTTTCCAAATATTCCCATCAATATAGAGTAGTCATTTATTGTCTCTCATGCGTGAGTCCGTTGTTTTAGCATGTGAGTGTATGGTATGAATTCTGTTTCTATAAGGCATTCCGCATTTCCACTCAGCACAAGCCTTCTCCTCACTTCTCAAATTCTTCTTTCTCTATATATAAGGCATTCGCGTGAAGTAGGTGAATATGTTTTAACTCAACTTCAATTTTTCATATAATTCAATTCTTCTTTCTCTATATATAAGGCATTCGCGTGAATAATTGAGTACGTTTTATCTACAACTCCTTCAATTCTTCTTTCTCCTTCCATACTTTCGCGTGAAGTTGGTGGTGTGTGCATTCTCTTGATTAATTTTTTTTTAATTTTGATATGTATTTTGCTAAATGATGGATAAGAATTTTATATTTAGTCATTTTTACATGGGGGGAGCTCGAATTTCTGTAGAACAAATCAAGAAAAGAACCTCTTTTTTTTTGTTTATATATATAATAAGGTTCGGATATTGATATAATTCATCCAATTCAATTCTTCTTTGTAGTACAATACTTTAGTCGATTTCGCTTCATTTATCATATTTCTCGTTTAGTTTAGTTTGAATTTAGGTTTATGAAATTTAAAAAAAAGAGTCTTTATGTCACGTTACAGAGGGCCTCGTTAGCAAAAGGCCTATAGTCGAAAGCGAACTTAGAAACCAAGCGCGCTTGGGTAAAAAATCTCAATATCGTATTCTATTAATCCTTATCTTCAGATTGTTATGTTCTTTATGTCCTAAAATAAATAAAAAATGGAATATTTATTTGAAATTGACTATCCATCATTTAGCAAAATACATATCAAAAAAAAAATTAATCAAGAAAATGTACCTTAGTCAGAAGAAAACTTAAGCTTCAAGTTAAGATAAAACGTATACAATATTTGCAAGGCCACACACACCACCAACTTTATGCAAAAGTGTGGAAGGAGAAAGAAGAATTGAAGGAGTTGCAGATAAAATGTATTCAATTCTTCACGTGAATGTCTTATATATAGAGAAAGAAGAATTGAATTATACGAAGGATTAAAGTTGAGATAAAACGTATTCACCTACTTCACGCGAATGCCTTATATAGAGAAAAAGAAGAATTTGAAAAGTGAGGAGAAGGCTTCTGATGAGTGGGCATGCCGAATGCCTTATATAAACAAAATTCATACTATACACTCACATGCCAAAACAAAGTACTCACGCGTGAGAGACAATGAATGACTAATCTATTTTGATGGGAATATTTAGAGAAGGAATGAGCACTTTGCGTGTGGCTGGAAAAGGTAGAAGTGTAGTCTAGTCAAAAATAAAAAAGCTAAAAACTCATGGAATTCACGTGGAGTGTAAGACAAATGTGTATAGTGGGTCCTACTGAAGTTGTTCAGACCAAGAACAACTTTCATTTTGTGATGTGGGTCCCACTGAAGTTGTTCAAACCGAGAATTATTTTCATTTTGTGATGTGTGTCCCATTAAAGTTGTTTAGACCAAGAACTTCCATTATTTTGTGATGTGGGTCCCATTGAACTTGTTCTTGGTTTGAACGACTTCTGTACAAATTTAAACCCATTCATCGTTTGAACAATTTCAGGTGTAGTATCTAGGGGTGTTCAAGAAGGATCCGTCCCGGTCGGCCCGTTCCGGTCCCGGTCTTATTGGGACGGGACGGATCCTTGCTGAAATTTTTTGGGACGAGACAAACAGGGACGGGACAAAAAATGGACCGGGACGGGACGGGACACGGGACGGGGTCGTCCCGTCCCGGTCCTTTTTTTATTTTTTTATTTTTTTATCTCATTTATATAATATTATTTTTTTCATATTTTTTTTAAGATTTGAGACTATTGTATGGAACTATAGATATATTTATTTAGAGTTTTTATATTTGTTAATGATTTGAGATTATTGATGATTAGAATTTTTAGCAAGTTTTTATTGTGTTAAAAGCTTTTATTTAGAGTTTTTAATGATTATTATATGTAATATTTTGAGTTTTTGTTTAAGAGTGCCCAAACAAATAAAAAAGAAAATAAAAAAATATTTTTATAAGGTTTAAGCCAAAAAAAGATAATTAAAAAAATCAGATTTTATTTAAAAAAATTAAAAAAAATACAAAAAAAAATAAAATAAAAAATAAAAAAAGAGGTTCGGGACGTCCCGGTCCCGTCCCGGATCCATCCCGTCCCGACCGGGACCGGGACAACCCCGGGACGGACCAGGACACGAGACAGAAAATTTGTCCCGTTACTGTTCATCGGGACGGAACCGGAACGAGCCTGTCCCGATCCCGATCTGTCCCGTGAATTGCCCTAGTAGTATCTGAGTAAATATTTTTTATCTTATAGCATCCGAGTAATTTTTTTTACTGTTTGTCATATCTGGATAAAAAAGCCATTGTTATATACATACATATATATTGTTAAATCAATAGGCAATGGTGGAAAATGAATTTGAGAGGCATAGATTATTGGCTTGGAAGTACAAGATATGTAATAATGGCAGGGTTGGTTGGGCATGCGAGAGAAAAGAGGATTCTCTCGTTGCTTTTTGGGGTTGCAATGAAGGCCCAAGCCTGGAGAAAAAGATAATTCTCTTTTTAACGCTGTTGGCCCAAACCGCATAATGAGATTCTTTTTAATCTGCTTCATCGTCTTCATTTTTCTCCAATATCTAACGTTTTTTTTTTTTTTTGCTACAATCCAACATATAACCTTTTGATCAGCCGTTCTGGTGTTACTTTTCTTTTTCTTTTTCTTTTTTTCTTCCCGTTAAACTGGTGTAATGTTATTTATTTATTATTTTAGGTACACTAATGTTATTTATTTAGATTTTATTCTTGGTTACTACTTAGTGGCGTCTCGGCCCATCATGAGGCCCACTAAGAAAAGTAACATAGAGAAGTGTCTGTCATAGTTGGCCCAATAAGAGGAGCACTTGCTACTAATTTAATTTTCATGCCCTCACCTCTGACCCAAATGATGGTACATTTATGTTTAATGCATATCTTCATTATCGTATCTAATAATTTTCTAATTATATATATTTACAAAATATTATTTTCTCCCAGAAATTTTTCGATGGGGCCACCTTTGACTAAGTCTGACGTAATTGAAGAATATGGTTCGACCAATAAAGTAAAGAAAATGGGTGGACAACGAAATTTGTTAGGATTGGTTGAAATTGGAGATCTAGTGTGAACCAACCACTACAAGAACTCTGGACCAATTTCTTTTCATTTTTTTGGGAAAAAAAGTATGATAGGTGTGATAACTAAAGCGAATAATGAGGATTTTACTTGAAGTAGAAGTAACATTATATTAGGCTTCCTTTTTTGGTAGTGGGGTTTTTTTGATCTTGAGAGAGTTGTATGGTTGAATAAACGGGACGTCCCCGTCATTGTTCCACACATGATATACTACTTTCCATCTTAAATATAAAATCTATTTTTTTAATATAAAAATATAAAACCTAATTTGTAGTGTATTACAAATTATTAGATTCTATATTTTAATTCAGAGGTAGCATCGTTTTTTCTCCTGGTTAAAAAAAAAAAAAACTAACATCAAGTAATAATGCGGTTTGCTGTGACTTCTTACTATCTTCCGACTGTTAGTGAGATTTTCCTTCTGTTCGATATAGAATGACTTAAAACTAATTTTGGTTGATTAATCTGATTAGTTTATCGATGGTTGGCAAGATTGATGGACCTAATGATAATTTGTACTTAGTATGTATCTCACCGGCGGTTTTTAAAAAGCCTAGCGAATTGATTTGGGTTGCGAGTGTAATTTATTATTGGAGGTTATGATATTTTTCTAAGAAGAATTTCCTTTAAATCCCTTTGTTTCATTAATCTCAACAAATCTCTCTTTTTTTCTTTTTTTTTGCCAACAACATTTTAGCTATCCACAATAACAGACAAGACACTAACAAGTAACAACTTCTTCCCCTAGTTGAGGTGAATAATATACACTTTTTTATTATCTCTGATTCTAATTATAAGAGCTAGTTGACTAATTTGAGGAGATTAAAGAAAGAAGTTAAGTTAGTTATTTGTAATAAATACGTGTTGTCTTTTCTAAAATATCTTTGTTAATTAAGTGTATTGGCTAGAATTATCATTGTTAGAAGAACTATCTCAGAAAAAAATATATAAATATGAGAAACAAAATGGATTTGGGTCTTATATTTAGAACTAAAATAAAAATTAAATAAGGTCTTATATTAAGGATCAGATATTCACTGTAATATTTTAGATATCTACAGTTGCAGATAGGGCATTAACGATAACAACTTCTTTCCCTGGTTGAAGTGAATAACAAGAATTCTTTAGATATTTCAGATTTGTTGAATTTAGTGGACCGAAGTGGGATTTGACTATTTTCAAATGGAATTGAATGCAATATTCCCATTTTCTATCTGTATAAAATG